ATTCGGCGTCGCGTCATGTGGCATACCTCGGGAGAAACAATAAGAAAGGGAAGAAGACAGCATAATAAAAGTGTCAACCATACATTTCACACGGACACACGGACAATAACAATAAGAAACAATTCTAATAAGGATACGGATGATGATGAGGATGAGGACGAGGATGAGGATGTTGTTGTTGTTGTTGAGCATTATTAATTCTAAAGAATAATTATTGTTGGGACCCCTGGTGCACGGCCCCCCTGCGCCGCCTAGGCCGCAGCTACATTTTCATCATTTTCGTGAGGAAGCCTCAGGTAATTCGATGTGATCAAGATCCGGTTGTTTTGTTCCCCCCCGCTTTCCCTTGCAAAAAACACTATAAAATGACATTTCTTGTTCTAATATAATCAAATTTCAAGAATCCCTTGCAAAAAATAAGGTAAAGTGGACATTCGCGCGCGCAAGACGAAATCCTTCCAAAACCTTAGTGTTCGCAGCGATTTTAACATAAAAACATCAAAAAACCAATGGTTTTTCAACAAAAAAATGTCAAAATCTCATCCCGCGCGCTCTTGCGGATTCGTAGGAAACCCAACACTTTTTAAACATTTCTGTCAAACGGGCTTTTGCGAGCAACTTTTTCGAACTTCTGCGACAACGGTTGCGCACCTGCCAGGGCCATCATCCCTGTCAAATAATACCATGCGGGACACATTCGTTTTTTCTTCGCGCGCGCACGCCGTCGTCGTCGGCCGCGGGGCCCTGAATAGTAGCCACGGTCGTCCGCATGCCACGAAGTGAAGTGTCCGAACGTCATAGGGCGGGAAGCTGGGTGTGGGTGGTGGCGAAGAGTCGTTTGGAAATTTGGTAGAGCTTGAACCGGCCCCCCCACAAAGTGGGGGTATTGCCCGCCTCCTATGAAAACCCTGGCACTGGTGAGAACGGTGTGTCCCCACGTGCTAGTAATTGTTGTTGTTGTTGTTGTTGTTGTTGTTGTTGTTGTTGTTGTTGTTGTTGTTGTTGTTGTTGTTGTTGTTGGTTGTTGTTGTTGTTGATGATGATGATGATGATGGTGATGGTGATGGTGATGGTGATGGTGATGGTGATGTGAGTATGATGATGATAATACCAGTGATAAGAAATTTCGCGCGCGCGAAAACACCGTCCGAGCGACCGCGAACGGCGATCCCGACAAAACATGTTGTCTGTATGGCGTCTGTGCCGCCGAATCTTTCAGCTCAGCGGACTCCCAGGCCGCCGCCCTGCCACAGCGTCGAAGGAGGCTCTTCGTTGCGCGCCTCCTCGTCCCTTGCCCGCTCCCCCTACTCCCTCACCTCCCTCCTCCGCCATGCCCTGCATCATTCCAAGATGACCTCCCGAGAGGTTTCAGTTCGGCACTGGCGCTGGCATATCCGTGGTCGAACACCGCCATAGTAAGTTGTCACCTGGCTTGAGTTTTGGTTGTTCCGCGCCGTCCCATCCAGCTCAATGTTGGGCTTAATCCGTCTTGATATTGCGTAATGGCCCCCTGGTCGGGCCTAATGGCCCTGAATGGTTCTTACGAAGATATCCCAGTGGCTGCCTGTCAATCTGATCGTTCTTAGCTCCGCGCGGATTTATCAGATCGGCGCTGGGCCCCCCTTGGCGGCGCCTCCGGCGCCGCCTCTGGCGCGCTCCAGCGCCGATCGCCGAAGTCCTCAGATAACGTACGTTCGCGCCGTTCCTCGTCCCTCCGTTTTCGATTATCTTACGCCATTCCACCGACCTCCAGACGAAGGGAGGAGCCCATGGAAACTGCTATGGAGAGGTACGGGCTGTAATGTCTTGCATGAGCCGGTTTTCGGCGGTTTGGGGTTTGGATCTCTTTGCAAGCCCCCCCACGGGACCCCCTCTGACACGGGGTCGGTGAGCTCTTTTTTGGACCTCTTCGGGGCCGGTTTTGGCTTTATTGAGCGCCTGCTGGCGGTCTCGGGGGTCCTATTGGGGCGGAGGGCCCGACATGTCAATTCGAGTTACCCCTCTTGTGCCTCTCTTGGGGCCCTGGTGGGGCCTTCGAGGGCCATCTTGGGCGACCTTTAGGCTATCTTAAGACCCTGTTTGGGGCTTCTTGGCCGTCTGGGAGCGATCTCGTTCGTTTCTTATTTCCCAAGTGCTAAGGAACTGGGCCGTGTTTGCGGTCTGGCCGCCGTCGCCGCCTCGTCGCCGCCCGTAATGTGGGCCGTGTCTTCGGTCTGGCGGCTATGTGACCGACGTCGGCCGCCGTCTTCGCCCCGTCGCCGCCTCGTCACCGCCCGTCGTCTCGGCCTGTCTCTCGGTCTGGCGGCGATGGCCGCCGTCGCCGACCCGTCGCCGCCTCAGACGCCGCTAGACTTTACCCCCCCCCAGGATTATCGGTACCCCTTTTTCGCATTGCAATTTACATTTGATTCTGCCCCATCGTCCATCCGAAATATGAATTCATACCATCCCAGCCCACCCGGTATCGACCCCCCCCGTCATCCGTTGCAAAACATACTATGTGCGCACACTCGTTTGTTATAAATCATAAGTTGTCAAGAGTCCTTTGCAAAACATGGGACGAAGTGCACACTTGCGCGTCGTCGTGCGCGCATGCCGAAATCTTTCAACAACCGTATGTTTCGGAAGGATTTCAAAATAGAGTGCCCAGAAACATATAAACACACACGCATCGCTTCGCAACGCCGATTGTCAAACAAAAAACGTGAGCGCGCTCTTGTGAATTTTTAAGAACGTCATAGGTTTGTTCAACATGTTCAGAAACTGCTACCAAAGGGCTTCGCGCGCGCATGTCGAAGTCGTTCGAGCGCCCGTGCGTGCGTGCCGCCGCGAGAATCCTTTGCAAAAGCGGGACGAAGTGCTCACGCGCGCGTCGTCGCGCGCGCGTGCCGAAATCATTCAAAAGCCTTAGGTTTCGCAGCGATTCAAAACCGAGTGCCAAAACACAGTCGAAACCTTGTTTCGCAACATCAGTTTTCAAACACAGCTCGCGCGCTTTTGCGAATTCCCCTTTTCTATAACCAAAAAGTCAATCGCTTTTTCAATATGTTCATGGACTTCTGCCACAAGGGCCTCTGGCGCCGCATGCCGACATCATTCGCACGCCCTTGCGCGCGTGCTGGGGGGGGGCACGCTCCGTGTCAAATAAAACCATGCGGGCCACTCTCGCGTCGGCCGCGCGCGTATGTCGAATTCTTTCCAAAGTTTTCATCACCGACGCGAGGACGCCGTCATCGTCGTCGGCGACATCAGCATCGGCGCCCGCATTGACCGCGCCTTCGTCGGTCGAGCATCGTCACCCGCATCGCCACGATCATCATCGTGTCTACCGTTGTCGGCGTTGTCATGATACCACGCCCGCCCAAGTCGCCGACTCGCAGTGAGGTGCCCGCTTGGGTTCGCCCAGGGGTCAGCGCCACCGCGGCCGCGTCGGTGGCGCCAAACTAGCTGGCCGCTGCGCGCGCGTGCTAGGGTTGGCGCGGCCGCAGAGATGCACCAGCCAACACCAAGCGTGCATCGCAATCGCCACCGCCATGGGTTTTGCAAACCAGGTTGCGGGTGGGTGGGTGGGAGTTTTGCAAGAGCACGGGGTGTGCCAGTTCGTTTATATCAATTGCACAACATGGGCTACACCAAAAAGAAGTTTCACCGCATAGGTTGCACCACGTAGTTTTCACAACCCAGCTTGTACCACAGAGTGCACAACATATCCCTCACCACATCGATTGTACGACAAATGCTGTACCGCATAGGGTGCACAACACATACTGCACCGCAAAGGTTTCACCACGTACGCTGTACCACACAGCTTGCACAGCAGCAATTGCACCATATGGATGGCACAACATAGAGTGCACCACGTAGAGTGCACAACATCTATCGCCGCATGGTGTTTGCACCACATATTGCACCACATAGGTTGCACCACCTGTTACACAACACCGACTGCACCACATCGATTGCACCACATAGCTTTTGGAACACAGCTTCAACCGCAGATATTGCGCCAACCAGATTGCACAATCTCTTTTACATCACATAGAGTACACAGCATCTACTGCCCAACATCGACTGCACGACCGAACTTGTACTACACGGGCTGCACTTCATACATATATATATATATCACCACGACATTACACCATTTAGCTTGCATCTCATAATTTGCACGGCATGTATTGAAACGCGCAGGTTGCGCCACATGGGGTGAACAACATACGTTGCACCGCACAAGTAGGGGGCCACATGCGAAAACCGATTCATGCCCCGCACGATTTCTGAGGGGGATGGTGGGGTTCATTGTGTTCGGGGGCACCCGAGCGAAGTGAACCCCACCCTCGCCTTAGAAGTCGTGGTGGGTAGGGGTACTTCAAATTTCGCTATAAAAGGGAGGGGATCACAACCCTCACAGACGGGCAATTCCAGACCCCCCCAAACAGGCCATGAAGGGCGGCTGTTGGCCCAGACTCACCGGAACCCTCCAAGACAGCTCAAATCTGACCCCATCCCAAATCAGACCACCCCCTTTTTATTGTGAGATCTGGAGTAGGGTTCGCGTGTGGCCCCCTAACAAGGGTGAAACGGTGCACACCGACCGCTAGAAACATGGAATTTCTGGGGCCCACGCTGGCTGTCCGTAGCGCCCCCCCCCCCGACGCGGATGCGGGCAGGCTGTCGACTCTAGAACTGACTTACACCAGGGTTCGTTGATTCGTCCACTCTACGACTAATATCAGGAGCGAAAGAAGGACGTACACGTACATGCATCCACGCTGTTTTCGAGAGTTCGCATTGCACGATTGTTCGTATCACGCGGCAGGTCTCGCGGGTCAAGGGGCCGCGTTCATGTACATAGCTGGGCGCGTACGTATTTTGTGGGGTCCCTATAATACGGAACATTCTCAGCAGATCGATGGAGTCCTTGTGCATTGAACGTGGGTCCGAAGGGGAAGCCAAAGAAGGGGCACATCAAGTCCGCAGGGCGACCCCCCTCTTCGAAGGATAACAGAGAAGCTCCAGTACAACGAGCTCGACCTTGACGGCGACGGGAAGATCAGCTTGGAGGAGGCCAAGAAGGAAAGGGCCGCCCCCTGCAGAGAGGGACGCGCCCGCCTTCGGGTGACCTTTGCCGCATACCCAGACACCTTAATATCTTGAGTAGGAGATCTACTATACAGAATCGATGTACTCCAAAATCGAATTGATCGCCGGATCCATCAAAACACGTTGACCTTGGACACCTACGAACATTACATGTCTTTTTTCGAATATACCAGAAAATATAGGGGATGAATCAATCATGTTGTCGATCTCCTACTCGAATAATCGTCCGTCCTTTCCTTCGCGACCTATTTATTGCGAAGGCCTGACGGCCGGTGCCGCCGACCCTGTTCGCAATGCGCAGCAAGAGATTACGAGGTTGCTCAAGGTCGGCTTGGCTGGAGCCCAGGGGAAGAGGAGTCCCAGGGGGGGGCGTCGTATCTGACCCGGGGGGGGGGTCGACACCCCCCCCCCCTCCCGGCGGGGGAGGGATCAAAGGGAAGGGGCTTCCCTTCGACTCAATTACGAGGTTGCTCAAGGTCGGCTTGGCTGGAGCCCAGGGGAAGAGGAGTCCCAGGGGGGGGCGTCGTATCTGACCCGGGGGGGGGTCGCTACCCCCCCCCCCTCCCGGCGGGGGAGGGATCAAAGGGAAGGGGCTTCCCTTCGACTCAATTACGAGGTTGCTCAAGGTCGGCTTGGCTGGAGCCCCCCAGGGGGGGGCGTCGTATCTGACCCGGGGGGGGGGTTCCGGCGGGGGAGGGATCAAAGGGAAGGGGTTCGACTCAATTACGAGGTTGCTCAAGGTCGGCTTGGCTGGAGCCCAGGGGAAGAGGAGTCCCAGGGGGGGGCGTCGTATCTGACCCGGGGGGGGGGTCGACACCCCCCCCCCCCTCCCGGCGGGGGAGGGATCAAAGGGAAGGGGCTTCCCTTCGACTCAATTACGAGGTTGCTCAAGGTCGGCTTGGCTGGAGCCCAGGGGAAGAGGAGTCCCAGGGGGGGGCGTCGTATCTGACCCGGGGGGGGGGTCGACCCCCCCCCCCCTCCCGGCGGGGGAGGGATCAAAGGGAAGGGGCTTCCCTTCGACTCAATTACGAGGTTGCTCAAGGTCGGCTTGGCTGGAGCCCAGGGGAAGAGGAGTCCCAGGGGGGGGCGTCGTATCTGACCCGGGGGGGGGGTCGCTACCCCCCCCCCCTCCCGGCGGGGGAGGGATCAAAGGGAAGGGGCTTCCCTTCGACTCAATTACGAGGTTGCTCAAGGTCGGCTTGGCTGGAGCCCAGGGGAAGAGGTCTCCCAGGGAAAGGGAAGGACAGACACGACGAGTACAAAGAATGACGGAGATGACGGCTCGAACGGAACAGCCCCTCACACACGCCGACAGGGTCGGCGGATTATGGACCCCATCTCCTCAGCTGGCGCCTTGATTCGAAGAAAAGTTTTGCATAAACTGAAACCTTCGACGTTCCGCGCGGACTTGTTGGATCTGCGCTGGGACTCCTGGCGGCGCCCTCCGCGCCGCCCCCGGCGCGGGGCCCAGCGCCGATCCGAGAGATCCGCGCGGACCTCCGGACGTTTAAGTTTGTGCAGTTGTTGTAAGTCTATAAAGCTGGATCCTGCTTGGTTCGCGACTTTTTTGTTGCCGCCTCCCTCTCCGCACTGTCGCCTGTCATGCCTTCCCCCCCTCCTCCTCCTCCTCCTCCACCTCCTCCTCCGCCTCCTCCTTTGACGCCTCCCATGCATAATTTTCACATGCAGATTTGTTTGCCGATGTCTTCCAATGCAGGCGCCTCGGCGCCCACTCCGCCGCGCCTTCATGGCGCCACACGCGCGGAGCCGAGTCCGAGTCCGAATCCCTCTCCGCACTCGGCGCCTTAGTATTCCGGGACCCCCGCCATATCACGAGCGTATTCATTCATGGCTGCAGTCATGTTGGCGTGAAGGTTGGCAGTACGTACGTGGACGGTTTTGCGAAAGTGGAGTTTGAACCACCCTCCCCTTGAACAATTGTTGGGCAGGGCGATCGATGCAGATTGGGCGTGAAGAGCATGGCACCGACATCCAGTTGCCTCCGGCAACTCCGCCACGGTGCCAGCGCAGCATTTTGGGTGGCAGCTACTCGAGGAGGCAAGGGGGCCTGCTGGGAGTCTTTTGGGGTAGAAGGCTCGAATTCTTGGTTGTTTTTGCTCACTCTTTGGGCCGTGTTGGGGCCCTCTCGGGCAGTCTTGGCCGCCTCTTGGGCCGCCGTCTTGGAGCCGTCTTGGGCCGTCTTGGAACTCGCTCGGTGGCCTCGTCAGCCGTCTCGGTGGAGTGAGTCTTGGAGGCCTCGTGGATCGTCATGACGCGTTTGATCATCGAAAAGGCGAGAATTTCAAACATTGACAAAGTCGATGAACATCACCAGCTCTCGCGTATTGGAGGCCCCATGTGGCCCTCTTTGGGTTTCTGTGTGCTGTTGGGGCGGAAGGCTGGAATGTCGGTTCGTTTTCCCTCTCTTTGGCCCTTCGCGGGGCCGTTTTGGTGCTCTCTTGGGCATTAGTTGAGGCCTCTTCTGTCTGATGCCGTCTTGGGGCTCTCTTGGGACCATTTTTGGGGCCTCTTGGGCCGTGTTGGGGAAGTCTTGGGGGCTTCTTGTGTAGTCTTGGTACTTCGGAAGACGGGGAAGACGAGATCCTGGACAAAACCGAAAGAACATAACAAATGTTTGCCTTTCAAGGCCTCCTGTGGAAGGTTCTTGAGGCTCTGTTGGGACGCCTCGAATCGAAGGCGTCGTAGGACGTCTTGAAGCCACAGTGGGCCGTCTTGAGACCAGCGTGGTCCGTCTTGGATTGGTATTGGGCCGTCTTGGAGGCATCTGGGCCTTGGAAGCGCGCGTCTGTCCTATATTGCGAAGGGGGATGGCCTCTCGAAAAGTGGATGGTGTACGCGGGCGGCTGGGCGCTTTCCGAGAGAGTGGGGATCCTTAGAAAGTTTTCTAACCGACTACCCCCGACAATAAATCATCCCCTCCCCTTCACCCCATCTAACTTTTTTTTCCAGTGCCAATCGGATTTAGCTGTGGAGAGGGCGCGGAGGCCGAACTTGATAATCCCCTGGGAAAGTTTAGAATCCAAGTTTCTGTCATCTTATGTTGATTAGGATGCCGAGCCTGCATGGGCGAGTGGTTTGAGGCCGTGCGCAAGAGAGGTTTCTTGGCCAGGAACGCCAAGGACCTCTCTTGCGCAGGCAAGTTGTAGCCACGAGCCTCGAGATCTCTCGAGTCAGTCTTTTGCCAATATCTACAAAGGTTAGGCTACACGAGCGCCCAGGATCATCATCGTCATCGTCATCGTCATCATCAACACCATCATAACATCACTTTCGCTGGGAAAATCTTTGGTTATCCCCGCCAGACCCCCGAACTGAATTATCCCCCGGGGATTAGTATCGTGAGCAGTTGGCTATACGATCACCACCCGTCGGATGATACAGTCGGGGCCCTGAAGAAGGAACCCGTTTCGTTGGGGAGGGGCTCCGTGTTCCTTGATTGTTTCGCAGCTTGCCTTAGGTGTTCCTCAGGTTATCGATGGGAAATCGAACTTTAACTGATGGGAAAAAGGGGCCTCGTTCCTTTTTTAGCGTTCCTTAGGTCAACCCCGCCACTGTAAGGAGGTTGGGGTTGGGGGGGGCGATCACAAACTACTGGCACATGCGATGGCTGTCATGACGATGTCGGTGACGCGCCCTCGAGTGAGCGACGCAGCGTGAGCGTGATGACGACGCTGTGCTGCGATGCAATGTCACCATCGCCCCCCCGCTTTCTATCGCACAACCTTAGTGGGCCCCGGAAACGGCAGGGCCGTTTTTGCACCGTTTCCACAAACAATGTCCCTTGAAAATGGAGACGGCAAAAGAAACGGCGACCGGAAACGGCAAAAAAACGGCTCCAGGATTGGAACCGGAGCCGGAACCGGTCAAAAAACGGCGACGGAACCAGTAACAAAACAGCGTCGGAACCGGCAAAACAACGGCAAAACGGAACCGGTAAAAAAACGGCCCTGTCGTTTCCAGGGCCCACTAAGCGCACAACCAATGTCACAATCAACCTGTCTGTCCATCCCATTCTGGCGATCTCATTACAGATTTCACTACCGACTGCGCTGTCGATACCAAGGCGGGGCACCCTCGGCCACCGCCCGCCCACCGCCGACGGAACACCGACGGGACACCAACCGGACACCACCGGGACACCACAGGATACCACGGCGGGACACTTGGGGCCACCGCGCGCCACCAGGGGACGGAGGGGCGGTCCACTCCATCCGAGTCGCCCTAGCGACGGCGGGGTCATTCCTCTCGCGCGCCCACGCAGCTTCGCCGTGCCCGAACGCACGACAGGAAGACGAAACCGAAACCGATGTCCCGGCTGGGGGCTTTCCGTTCCACTGCGATCTCACCCTTAATTCACAGTAGAAACGTACCAGACAGGCTTTCGCATTCTAGCACGCCTCAACGTGCCAGGGAGCACGATGGCGGATAATGATCATGATGATGATGATGATGCTGATGTTGTTGTTGATGATGATGATGATGATGGCAGTGGAGGCAACGATAATGACGATGACGATTATGATGTTGATTATGATGATTATGATTATGATGTTGATGATGATGATGGTGGCGATGGTGATGACGATAGTGACGATTAGGGTGATGATCATGATGTTGATAATGCTGGTAGTGATGACGACGATGATGATGATGATGCTGATGGTGATGACGTTGGTGATGATGATGATGATGATGATGATGATGATGACGAGGACGACGACCACGACGATGATGATGTTGATGAAGATGATTATGATGATAATGAGGATGAGGATGAGGATGATGATGAGGAACGTGATGCGGACGATGAGGATTGTGGTGGTGGTGATAATGTGCTTGATGATGATGATGCTGATGATGATGAGGATGATGATGATGAAGATACTCAGACTGATGATGACCATGGTGATCATGGCGATACTGATGATGATGATGATGATGATGCTGGTGGT